AGTTTTTGTATTACAAATATAATTTCCAAATTTTGTCGTAGGTGAGATTTGAACCTTAGATCTGCCACTTGGAGGATGACAACCCAACCACTATACTAGGATTGCCATCCTCTCTAAATAAATTACTAATGCACATATATGATATATTATTAATATAATTATTATTTCTACAATTGAATATCATTTTTATAACATAATTCTTAACCAAAACACTTGTAACAAAAGTTTTATAAACCATATTGAACTTATTAAAAACAAGCTTTATTTAGTTGTTTAACTTCTATTAGTACTTTACTTCATTCTCTATTATATAATATATGCAATATATGAGATATCCAACTACAACATTATATCACAAATTATACTAAAAGACTTAACTTTTCTAATTTTCTTGGTATTAAAATCCATATTTGACTTCAATAACTTCAAAATAATCTTTGATTATCTACTAGTATACTGATACACAACAATTCTACTATTAATAAACTAAACAAATATTCTACTAACTTTAAAATGATTCAATTTTTAACATTTCAATAAAACATTTACCTCTAATCCAACATATAACATCTTACATACTATTTAAAAGAGTTCTATCTTATTAGAATTTCTTCTCTGTTCATATTCTAAATATTTAATTTTCAAAAAACAACTTAAATATCATAGTATTTTATACTTAGACCAACTTATTATATTTGATAATTTATACTTATTGAATTGGAAACACATCTTTTCTTGCATTTATAAAATTTCAAAAGGCAAATAACCTCTTGATTTACTTATTCAAAAGACCAAGTTACAAATTATTCCTACAAATATATACTATATTCACACTTATACTTACTTAATACTAACTAATATAGTTATACTACTGGACATTTCTTATTATATAAAAAACTCTGGTTTATTATATTAGTTAATAACCAAATTATTACTGCTAAAGCCAGAAGACAACCTTCTTAATCTGATACTGTGCTTATCACTTACTGGCAATGTCAAATGGAATCACAATTTATTTGCTTATATCTTCTTGTATCTATTTAATCACATGCATGTTCTAGTTGTTTTCTTAATTCACAAACAATTAATAACAAATATATAATTGCTATTTCTACTAATTTTTTAACTTAATTTTTTGGTTAAGTCAATATAAATAACAAAACTCTTAACTTTAATGCCAATTATTGAGATCTTTTATACTCAGTTATAATTAGACATTCTACTCAAACTTCAAGTTTATCTAACATTATTATTTCAATATAGTCAATCCCAATTATTTTTGAACTTTGTATATTAACTCATAAACTTTAACAAATTGTTGATTACAACACTAACCAACAAGAACTTCATTTCTATACTAATGGCTTTGTTATTAATTTGGGTATCTTTGAATGCTCTATAGGTATTAGATGGGTTCAAGTTAACAATAATTCTATATTGTATACATTTTAGATACAAGTTAAACTTTGGTCTTGTTCATTCAAATCAGAACTTACTGCGATCTTATTAGCTTTTATTACTGGTCCTAGAAATTGTACTGTAAATATATATACAAATTCTTAATCTGTAATTTCCAAATATCAAAACCTTTTAAATTTCTTTATTACTCTATTAGATGTGGGTCAAAATCCTAACAAACAGAATCTTAACAGGTTATAATCTTAACAAAAAATCTTGATAGTCGAAAATTTCAACAATTAAAAATCCTGACAACCAAAATTTTTAGGTAAAAAATCTCCAAGTATAAGATATGTTTAAAGTAAAATAGGCTCTTAAATTTAATTAATTTTAGAGTTAAATCACTTTAGATAATAGTTGGAATAAGGTTTGTTATAGTCTATTATATTTTTTATCAGAGTTTTTAATTGTTAGAATTTTAACTATCAGGATTTTTAACTGTCAGGATTTTTTTGTTAGAATTATGCTCTGTTAGGATTCTGTTTGTTGAGATTTTGACCCAAACCTACTTTATCATATACACATATACCATACTTTTCATTTTGAAATATACTTGTCAATTTTATTGACTCTTACAAAATTCAAATTATCTTTCACAAAGTTACTGCTTACTAAGATAATATATGCAATAATTTAGCTAACTAACTTGCACATAACTATTATAATCTAATATATCTTATTTTAATATTATATAATATTTATAATTTAGCCTATACTCTTATTTTTAAGAATTTTTCTCTAAAGCTACCAACTTATTGCAGTATTCATACAATTTGTCACACATATATTTATATACTATAAATTACTTAAAACTGTTTTTATTAATAGGAAAAATTTTTAACCAAATTAATTAGCAAGTTATATAGTTGTATATTAATAACAATCAAAAAATTTTAAACTTTTTATATAACTTTTAATCATTTACTCTTAAGTTTTTTAAAATTAAAATTTTATTAGATGAACTTTCTATTATATACACTTTACACAAATGTTATTATTTATATTTATCTACTTGTTACCAATTTTATTAAATTAGTTTTTACCTTTATAGGACAACTTGCCTATCTGATTAACTATTAAACAATCTTATAAATAACTTATTACAACATGCTCTTAATATTATTACTCTTAATACTATTTCAAAAATTATAACTAACCTATATTATCAAATTAAATAACTACACTACATGTTTACTCACAATATACCAGACCTACCTTCAATTTCTTCAACTTTATTAGGCTTAGTATCAAATAAAATTATCACTATAGTTACAAACTTATTATTTATAAAAATATCTAAAATACTTATTACTAAATTTTTACTTTATCTTAATCAATAAATTTATCACAAAATTTAGATTTTTTACTGTATTTTAAGATTTACAATTTATCTTATTATTTTTAATTTATCTTTTAATTCTGCTTTACAACTAGTACAACTTCTTTCTTTTAATACTATTAGCTCTAAAATTAATTCTTGGTATATATAATGAATTAAATATTAAACTAATTTCTTATATATTATTACTAACATCTAAATCTAGGTGAGCCTTGGCTACTTCAATTGATTTAAATTGTAAATAAATTAGTCTAAGCTTCTATTCTTATTATAATATTTTAAAAGTAGATTTAAACTTTATATAAAAATTTTAGTTAAATATTCAATAAAGATAGAGACATGGCCTTACTATTAAAATTATAAAAAAATAAAAAAAAGTTTGAATACTTATTAATAGATATTTTAAAAAATAAGAAAAATTTTATAAAAATTAGATATGATTTTTTTTAAGAATTTGAAATATTTTAATTTATAAAAATAATAATTTATTTTGTTTTTAATATATTATATATTAAAATAAAACTCTAATAAAACTAAATATATATTTTAAATATTAATTATATAATTTACTTAATAAAATTTTATATTTTATAAGAAGAAAGAAAATTTTGAAATTGATTATATCTTTATAACTAAAACTTTAAAGATATAAATCTAAACTATATAAATATAAATTTTAGTTAAACCAATTTTATTTAATAAGTTTCTAAATTAATTATTGTTAAGAAAAAATAATACAAATAATTATTAAAACAAATTAATGATTTATATCTAAAAAAAATATTTTTTAAAATATATTAATTTGTAAATTATATAAGTAAAATATAATAAAAAATAATATTATAAGAAATAAAAAGTTAAATATAATTTGATTATTAAATAGAAAAGAAAATATAATTAAATATATTTAAAATATTTACTAAAATTAAGTGTTGATAATTGAACTAAATTATAAGAGTTTGTTATATAGAATAATTAAATATAGATAAATTTATATAATTTATAAAATAGAAGAGTATAATAGAGAAGTTTAATTAAAGGTTTAAAAGATGTTGACATAATAAAATATTGAGTAAGCTTAGTTTATTTTAATAAAATTAATTTTAAAAACCTACAAAAAGAATTAATTTGTCTTATTTTAATAAATATTATTTAATTTATATAATCATGTTTATTTAGATTATTAATAGATTATAAATACAAGTTGTAGAAATATTAAGTAAACAATTTTAGGGTACAGTACCCAACAAAAGTAATGCCCAATGATCAATTTTATAGTAAATTATATACAAAATCCTTTTTAAAAAATCTTGTTACCAAAAAAACAAAAGAACGTGTTTATCTTGACTCAGTGAAAATTATACATCATAAAATATAAACATCAAATTTTCTAATCATATAAATTACAAAATATTTTTATTTTAAAACTTTAGATTTTTATTTTAAAACTTTAGATTTTTAACAATTTTAAAATTTTAAATTTTCTTTATGTTTTTACTATATAAATTTTGTAAAATTTAATTGTAAGTTTTATGTTATATTAAAACTTATATTTTTTTATAAAATAATTTTTTTATTTTATATTGTTCTTAAAAAAAATATAATGACACTATTTTAATAATTTTAGTTAAGTTTTTTTAAAAACATTTTTTTAAATTTTATATTTAATTTTAAAGTTGAATTTACAAATTTTATATGTTTTACATATAAAACTTTTAATCGTAAACTTCATAATTTTAAAAAAAATAATTCTCAATTTGTTCGTCTCAGTGAAACTCAAATATTATAGAATATAAACATTGAATTTACTAATCAAATTAAATTTTTTTTAAAAAAATAAAAAGAATATTGACTTTTACGATTATATAAATTTCAATTTTTTATATGTTTTAGGCTACTGTACAAACATGAGGTTTAGTCCAATTTGAAGTAACTAAATAATCTTTATTATTGGTATATAAGTAATCAAACCCAGAAATCTTATACAAATACTAACCACAAACCCTAACTTAACTACAAAAAAAAGACAAAATTTCATATTACAGGTATCGCATACCTTCGTACACCCCTATCAAAAACGGACCTTCATTTAAATGTTTACTAATAGATATTTTTATGTGGGGTTGGTACGTTATTGATATGGGTGTACAACAATGGTATGCGAAACCTAAATAAGTTAACGCTTCAGCATCATCGTAATATTTTATAGTTTTTCATTTTTTTTTCGATGAGCAACAGATTGGACTAAATTAACAATTTCATCTACATAAATAAAACATTCGTCAAAATGAATTGGTTAACATAAAATATAGTAATATTCATAAATACTGACCAGCTTTGTTATTAGGAAGCCGCTCGATTGCTTCAAGTTCTTTGGGGGAAAATTGGTCGAACATCTGTTCTAACATCTCAAGCACCTTATTAAAAAATCGTTCGTCGTTCCTTTCATCTTCCCTTTGTCCATCACAGTTATCCCTCTTTTCATATCGTTCATTTTTTAGCTGCTCATCTAGCTGTTCGTCTTCATGTTCACTTTGCAGTCCACTTTTTCGTTGTCCGTTCAATTGACATTCATCTACTAAATTATAATGCATATTCTTAAAAGATTGATAAGAAACATTAGATTCGGAACTAAAGAGCTACCAGATGTTTGTAAAGCGAAAGAACAAACCTCTCTATATTCTAAATTAGGAATAAATTATGATGGACTTATTTCTAAAAGTTGTTAAATAAAATTAGGAACGCTATTAATTTAAAATTAGTTCTCACCAGTTTCAGAAATAAGAATTTGTGGTAATTCTGTTTTTTCATCATATGTTACATCGATATCGATATCTTCATCATTGTATACAGGTTCACTTGATTCATTCTGTTGTAATTCTATTGGTTGCTGCCATTCATCACCTGACATGATATCGTTTTCATGAATTAATTTGTACACTTCTTTAATATCTGGCCGAAAATCTGGATTTCCATTCCAACAATCTGTATAAAGTTCAACATAAGATGCTTTGGAGCCAGCTATTGGTTTTTCCCGTTCTCCTCTTATTAATTCAAATGAAAATAGATCGATTGAAAACTTTCTGGGATGATTTTGGAACGGCTGTCGGCCATTGCTTGTAATTTCCCATAAAATTACGCCAAGACTATATATATCAGATTTACGATCAGGTTTTAGCTCCTTATTGTTCAAAATTTTAGGGTCTATAAATGGTATTACACCACCTATCAACTGATTTGATGTACTATCACGAGGGAGAACCTTTGAAAGTCCAAAGTCTGTGATAATAACTCTGATACCACACTTGGAACTTTCAGCACTTTCATCATTTTTAATAACCACATTTTTTGTATGCTGTTATAAAGTTAATTTCTTAATTAAATGTCAAATGTAATATTAATTAGCTATTAAGAAATATGTAACTTACTAAGTCACGATGCAAAATTTCATTTTCATGTAAAAAAAATAGACCCCAAACAACTTGTCTTGCAATGTTAACCTTTTGTTCCCAATCTAAATTACTGTGATTCAAGTAGTGACGTAAATCACCAAGTTCTGCATACTCTAATACTAGGTAATGTTCTGTTTAGTCAAAAAAACAGTGCAAAAGATAAATATATAATAGTTACGTAAAGTTCATATTGATACTTATAAATAATCTACCGGATTTATTTCTATTTTATTTTTTTTTTTGAGAAAGGATGACGATAAGTGATTCAAATTCAACAGCATATGAGGCATGTGATATTATACGTGTAAAGTTTAAACAATACCGATGTTTCGTTGCACCAAAAAAATTGATCACATTTTTATAACCTATTGGTAGTGTTTTTTCTTTATTTAGCAGCACTTGTTTGATTTCGTGAAAAGCTTTAATCTTTTAAACATAGAAGAAACTTGTCAGAATTTAAAATGCTACGAGTAAACGGAACTGTCCTACCTCTTTAGTAAATTCTTGGTTATCCTTAAACTCTTGGTTATTCTCTTCCGAGTCAGCTACAGTCTTTAGAACGATTACAATATCTCTTGTCTTCCATTTAGCTTTTAGAACTTCTCCAGAACATCCCGTACGAAGATGTTCTATAATATCGAATTCATCCCAACTGAAGCTATTTATTAGTCCCTTTTTACTGATTCTTTCAAGATAATCATCTTTAGTTTCATTACGAATCGTTAAAAATTTAGAACTACTTATTGCTGACTCGTCATTTTCATTCTCAGACATGACGGCAATATTACGAAAGTTTGACATTTGCTCATTAATGTTTTCAATCCAAATTTATATTTAATCGTTTATTAAGAATTTTTTTTATTTGTTACTACGTCAATCCTAACCTTCTACATTTTTTACTTTGCATTACTATAAACAATGATTTATAGATTTACTTATGATCAACACAATCATAGCTTTAACTTAAACTTGATTTAATTAAGAATTTAATCGTCACAAAATAGCCATGGTCATTTCCTGGATTCCGCATGGGCGGCTATAGGATGTTTGAATGCGTGATATAAAAGTGACACTCTCGAATTTGGAACAATAGTGTAATACGTATATACATATAACGTAAAGCTCCAAAAGTTTAGGAAATAAAATAATCAGTCAGCTAAATTAATATATACGCATTAGGATATATCAATATATGTTAAATACGTAGATTAATTTATTGATTAATATTTTGATTAGCGTTAGCTTTTTTATTACATTATTTTATTACGTATTACGTATTTTTTTTGCATAAAATTTTGCGGATTTTTGTGTAGCAGTCCTAATTTTTTTGATATCTATTTCTATTTTCGTAAAATTAATTAGGTCACTCTAAATATCCAAAATTTTCTATGGTCGCAATGGCGGATTTCCTACTAGTACAAACTAATACGTGTACATGCGTACTTATGTCAGAGTTACCTATTATAGTAGGATCTAAAATAGTGTACGTTCAATATTCCGAAATCAAGCACCCTTCTTTGTCCGGTATTGCAAATAATCATAAGGTCAAAACATTATATGTATAAAAAAAAGTTGAGTGGACATACCAATACGTACTATTTTATATACTAGTTGAAATCTCACATTTGGCGTTGTGAGTGTGACCAATGATGTATGTGATAAATAAATTTTTATTATATAGTAAATATTTATTGTCCGAAGGACACTCTACTTCTATGCCATTTCATGCAATGTCTGTTAGAAATTTCCAATAAAGTTTCTGATTTGATTACATTACATATCTTTGCATATTTACAAAAATAAACAATCTACCGTCAGATAAATTAACTAAATAATAAAAAATTGGTCATTCTAGTTAGATATGTTAACCAATTTCTTCAGACATTTATAATTTTCAGATATCCTAATTTTTAATGTAATATGATTAGTTACACCTCAGTGCCAAATGGAAGGTGTTAGCATTATAAATGATAATGTCATAGATAATTAATTTAATTGGAAAGTCTTAGTATTATTACTAATTGAAGGCATAAACATGATTTTCTAATCTCATTAACATTTTAGAATTATATATTTTATAAATAAATTTTTTATACTTTGCAAAATATAAATGTTAAATATATGCAAGATAAAATGCACAAATACATACATATTGTGTTTATATTTAGTTTAAGATAAATATACAAATTTATTAATTTTTTTATATTCATTTATTACAAATAATTAGGATTATTATTTTATTAATTTTTTATTTATTTATAATATAGCATATTTATGTTACTATTTTTTTAAGTTTGTAATAGTTAGCATTTATTTTTATAATACAAATACTTTCTACTAACTTTTTAAATAAAATTATCTTTGCTTTTATATTTTTTAGTAATTTTTAACAGTTAAAAAAATTTCAAATTTGTTAAAAAAACATAGTACTAAATATAAAATAATAATTAATTTAATATTAATAAAAAAAGTTTTTTTATTTGATATTAAGGTGAAGCCTTGATCTTATCTTTATTTGTAGTTATTAAGTAATAACTGCATGAAGTTACTAGATATAAAAAGAAGTTCTATATATGTTATAGTTAAGATCAACACTTGCAATCAGGACTAACTGTTAAACTGCTAATTATAATACTATAAATCTGAGTAATATAATATTACATGCAAGAATAAGAGCTCAGACATATTTATCTGCAGCTTAAACCTACTAGAATAGCTAAAGTTTACCTAGATTAGTTGGAAATTTCAAATAATATTCATTACTCTAGTATATTCTAGTAAACTACTTATAGATTTCACTAACTATTTACACTATTAGAAGTTAATTATATCATTATAAAGAAAAAAAATGAACACTCTTCCTGTCAATCACTCAGACACAAAAATCACTAAAGGAAAAAAGTAGATTTTAGCAAAAACAGCAATAGAAAACATCTCAAGTAGCTCTAAGCAGAAAGAAGCAGCAACAGAAAAAGCAATAGACTAATAGAAGAAAAGTCTATTTGCAAAAAATAATAGTATAGTTATTAAAGAAAAGCAAAAAACTT